CAGCTGTGCCATGGCCCCAGGCAAGAGCCTTTCTCTCCCATCCCTCTCTAATATTACACTATTAAAGTTGCCTTTTGGCTTTTATTATGATTTTTTCCAGAGATAAAAGCAGGCTGTGGGGGCAGAGGGAGCCCCAGGACTATCCATGTCCTTGGAGCTGACAGAGTGGGGAGYCTCAAGCTGGGAATGCTGTGGTAAGGCCAGGAYATGCRGAGGAGGAGGAGGAGGATGCTCAGCTGTGCATCCCTCAGCCCCAGCTCRGATGAAGGGACCAGGAGAGCAAAGTGCAGGGATGCTCCCTGCTCCAGTGGCCAGGGGATGCTTTTCTGGAAAAGGGGGAGCAAAACACCCTGGCTTTGACCTCAGACCTCCCCACAGCCCAAAACTGGTTCCTGCCACTGCTATCCACCCTGGAGCTGGAGCAGGCATTCCCAATCCAGTATTTGAGTGCTGGCTGACACATGCTGTCCCCTCCAGCCCCTGGTGACACCTGATGGACTTCTTCCCTGGAATGGTGGAGGGCTCCTTGTCCTCTCCACCRAGGCACRGACCCGTTTTYCYYYKCCCCATTTTTCCCGAGGGCTGAGGGAGCAGGACCCATCACACACACATGGGGCTGACAGGAAGGGAGCCATTCCCGAGGAGCATTGCTCCTAAACCATTCCAATATGGCAAGGCAATGTTAACCAGCTGGGAAAGCTCTTTAAAGACCCTTAATTAAAGGCTGGCTGTTGCACAAGCCCCTTTCCCATCCCCGCCAGGCGCGTTTCCCAGTTTCCCGGCCTCTCTCCCGCTGCCCTCCATCCCTCACACTTTCCTTCCCGCTGGCATCTGCCGGCAGCGTGCTGCGGCTGCCCGGGGCGGGTCTTCAGCAATCAGCCATCAGATGGAAGTTGAAACTCCGAATAAAAGGAAAAAAAAGAGGGAAATTCCTTCACTGTTGATTTCCAGGCGTGGCTGCCAGCGTGGATGGCAGTGCTGGGGCAGAGCTGGCTGTGCCAGCCTGATCCCGCCCAGCAGCGGGAGCATCGGCTCAGTCATCTGCACCACCACTGCCCAGCTACAGAAAACTGGGAAAAACAGGGCTGGATCAGCCCTTGCAGCTCCATTCTCTGCTCTAATACCAGCCCTCACATAATGAGCTGCAGCATCACCACGAGCCAGCCCCAAAGGCTCTGGCCWTCCCCCTCCTCCTGCCCACTCCATGTGTCCCCATTCCCTGGGGAAGGAGCAGYGGTGGCAGTGCCCCATCCCGTATGTCCCCCTCTATTCCACACCAGTGATGGGCACACAAYTGGGGCCTGGGCCACGTCTCCTGCCAGGAGAATCTTGCCAGAAAGGCATCAATTTCTTTTTTTCAAGTGATATAAATTAATTAAGCGAGGCAACGTGTTGCTGTTTCTAATCAGAGCATAAATTTGGCATTTACACACGATGGCTCCACACAACCTCACTGCTCCATCCCCAAACTCTATCCTGGCCCTGCAGCCCCCAAAACYAGCAGGAAGGATGCCCAACACCTCTGGCAGCAGCCCCCACTTACCAGCCAGTGCCAGCTCCCACACTCTGAGCTGGGACAGCCTCTGCACCCTCCAGAGCTGGGGCAGATCCTACAGGGAGGATCCAGTGCCCCTTCCCAGCTTTGATAACCCACAGGTGCCTGGCAGCAGCAGCCTCGCCTGGGGGATGTGGGATGGACACACAAGGCACCAGGGAATGGGAATGGGGAAGTTCTTCCCTTCTTTTCCAGGGAAGAATTTTCCCTGTTACAGGTGATAAACATTCAAGATGAAATGTGGAACTGAAAACCAGCCCTGCCGCTCTCCTCATCTCCAGACCCACGCAAAAGCAGGGAAGTTTTAACTTCTTGCTTTTTGGAGCTTTTTTTTTTTCTTCACTATTTTTGTTCTTTCCCTTCTGTCCTCCTAAATCTGGTATAACAGAAAAAGGAGTAAATAAAAAAATTTTGGAAGGCTCTTCCAGCCCTGCTCTTCCTGGCTTATGGAGTGGAATGGAGAGGGAGGCCCAGAGCACAGGAACCACAGAATTTTGGATAGCTGGATTTTCAAAACAAAATTGGGGTTAGAAATGGAAACTTTGGTTAACAGAGACAGGGATGAAAACTTAATTTCATACTTGGCAGCAAAGCTGGATCTCCATCATCGTCTTGTTCTGGCACTTCCCCAATTAACCTGGTGCTCCAGAGGCATTTTTCCAGGGTGTTTTGCCATCATCCCCTGAGCAAGCATCTGCCAAAACTCCCTCGGTCCCAGAAAACATCAGCCCGGCTCAGCATCCTTCGTTTCAACTTTATTTCCAGAGGTTTTAAGCAGAAAGATCCAGCAGTGACACCTGTCCCTGAGTTTCTGYGGGAGATCCAGAGCAATTCCTCCCAGGATGGGGATCCCAGAGAAGCTGTGGCTGCTCCTGRGTCCCTGGAAGTGTCCAAGGCCAGGCTGGACAGGGCTTGTGGAGAGTGGAAAGTGTCTCTGYCCATGGCAGRGGCATGGAACTGGATGGGCTTTAAGGTCCCTTCAACCCAAACCATTCCAGGATTTCATGACCCTGGAGAACAAAACGTAACAGTGGAGAACTACTCAAAGTATTCCAAGGAATCTCTACTCAAGCTGAGCCCTTCACAAAGCTGGGACGGACAGCACGAATGGGACAGGGGTGCTGTCACCATCCTGCACCAAAACCCCTTTTTTTGGAACCACATCGCTCCACTGGAGCTCTTGAAAGCACCACAAACGACCCCAAACTCCGCCGAGGTGGACTTAAGCCYGTGTTTGGCTCAGAGCAGGAGCCGAGAGATTTCAACCCCTTCCTACCAAAGCTGCYTTTATTGTCTTGATCTAATGAAGTGCAGACTTCACCTGGACAGAGCCGTAAGTGGCTCCTCTCGGAGGCAATGAATACAAATACTTGACCTCATGAGCTGCGGGGCAGCAATTAGTTTAAGCARGGGGTTTGTGTAACACTTCAAAAGTCTTAATCCGTGCGGTCAGCCCTGGCACGGTATTTGCCAGAACCTATTGAGTAGTCTTAATGAGTCTGCAAAGCAAGCTTTCAATACATTTTGGGTCGCTTCAGATGCTTTAAATGGCATAGTCTATATGGTATTGTGCGGCTTTAGAAAGGGCCGGGCTTTAAAAAAGTATGGTTCCCTTTCACAGGGCAGACAGAAACCATCTTTAGAGCCGGGACCCTTAACGTTTTGCATATCAATATGGCTGGGGCTGAATGCAGTCACTCAGCTGAGAAATAGGATCACTATCAGCGTTTCCAGGCTTTCACAGGCACTTGGGAAACTTTAAAGCCCTTCGTGGAGAATAATTTGGTCGAATGTCGTGGCTGGAAACAAAACCTAAACAAGCAGAGCGCAGTCCATCATGCGGAGCTGCCAGCGAGGCTGACAAGGGGCTCCAGCCGCTCCGACATCCCACCCCCGGCGGGGCGGTGGCCGGGGGTCACAGACCCGGGGGGACACGGCCGGGGGGGACACTGGGGACAGGGTGTTGAGCCCATCCCACCTCTGTTGGTTGGTGGCCGGGGGTCACAGATCTGGCGGGGACACGGCCAGGAGGATCCCGCACTGGGGACAGGGCGCTGAGCCCATCCCAGCGAYGCTGCATCCCTCCGAGGGCTCTGGGATTTCAACCAGCATAAACCCATCCTGGTTCCGTCTCCTCTGTGTGACAATGTCCCGGTTTACGCCGGTCATAAAGCCCCGAGGGACTGTCACCTCCACGGCCCCTCCCACACAGCAACAGGCAGCTGTTTGCATTTCACCCCAACATCACCCGAAGCCTGTCCCTGCACATGYCACTTGTCCCGGGAATGAACAGGAACGTGTCCAACCTCACCTGCAGCCCGGAGCAYGGGACAGGAAACAAACATCACCTCCAGGGGCACAAGGGAATGTGCCAGGACCACAGGATGGGCAGAGCCGTGCGGATTAAAGCACCGGGTGAGGGTGGGAAACCATCCCTGAGCTGGGAGGAAAGGGATGGGGCCGGTTGGACATCCCAGAAATGGTACCTGCTTCCCTCGTCACACCCAAGCAGCAGCAGCGAGGAAAGGAGGCACCTCGGCAGCATGGTCAGCTTTGGGATGCAGGTTTGGGATACTGCATGATTGGGGAAACCACGGCCAAAGCATATTTGCAAACAATGCAGGGCCTGAGGGCCCTTCAAAACTCATAATTAGCTCATTAAAGAGACAAATGCAAGTCACTAATAAGATCTTAGAGGTTAATTAAATGTTTTCCCCATCTTTAATTAAAGGAAAACTACTTAGTGCAGATTAAAGTAATTTCTGCAGCCTCCCGTGATGACCCTCGATKGCTGCAGATTTGAAAAACTATTGAGATTATTGACCTGAAGGGGCAGAGTTTGGGTAAATTCGGGAGAAGCGGGAATTTTCATCTTAAGGGTTAGAAAGGCGCTGCTCCATCAGCTGGGTCACTCCAGGAACATGGGAAGGTGATCCACAACTCACTCCCCCTAGGCCCAGACCTGGCATTTATTCAAAACCACTGCTTTGCTTTGCTCATTTTGCTTTGTTCATTGCTTTGCTCAAACTGGGAGATTCCTACGGATTCTTTTCTGTCTGCAAAGCATCTCCCGGGATTGGGGTTTGCTGCCCCAAACTGTGGCACCACCAGAACTTGACTTAGCAAAACCCCACTGGCTGCCTGCTCCAGAGGCCAAGTGGTTTCCAAAGGTTTTATTACAGATGGTGGATCCATCACCCCCATGCACACCAACACACACTCCCCCCTGCCACCCAGAGTGCTCCCAGTTAATATCGATTAGCAAGATTTATATGGAAGAATATTTAATCTGGTCAGGGACGGGAGAGGGCTCATCCGTGGTTTTATTTCTTAAATATTTCTCTCTACTCCGGAAAAGTCCGTTTCTTGCCAGAAAAGGTCCGATATAAATTAGARCGAAGGGAGGAGGGTGCTGGTGGGGTGGCCACAGGCATCCCTGGCGGTCCTGGCAGCCCAGGTGCCAGCCTGGCATCGTGCCCTGCGGATGGCTCAGTCCCACCCAAAATCCTGCCCTGTCATCTGATAAAACTTCATGTTGAAGGGTCTGTAAAACTCCCGCAGGCGCTGCACCACCTGCCCGTCGATTTTGGGGTGCGGCCGCCCCTTGGATTTCCCCAGGCAGCGGGGTTTGCTTCCCCCCTCCGGCTTCTTCAGGCAGGGAAAGCCCTTGGTCTCATTAAAATAGAAATGTTTGTCCGTCACCACCCTCTGGAGGCCCAGRAAGTCCTGGACACGGCCCATCTCCCCGGCAGGGTCGCTGACGAGCCTCTCCCCGCTGACAAAGAGGAATTTGGAGAGCGGGAAGTACTGCAGCCAGTTGTCCAGGTGCTTGGCGTAGATCCCGATCCTCACCGCGCTCCAGCTCGTGTCGATCAGGCCCGTGCTGAGGTTTTTGAAGGCCAGGTCCTGGAAGCTGGGGATGGAGGGGTTTTTGGACAGGGTCTGTGTGTAGTCTGAGATGGCCCTGGTGACCGGGTTGCGCACCACCACGATCAGCTTGGTGTCCCGGGACATGTTGTAGATGCGCCGCGGGGCCTCCTTGGTGACAAAGTAGCTGGGGGTCTTCTCCATGGTGATCTGKCCTTCCAGGGTCCGTGGCATCAGGCTCCTGTGGGACAGAGGGACAYGGTCAGGGCCCAGCTGCCCCCACCTGGGGCCATGATGGGTAGGGACAGGCTCAAAACCCAGCCAGAAACACTCAGGGGCTTCCCAACCACAACCATCTCTCTCCTCTCCYTCCTGCCCCACCTTGTCACACCCCACTGTGTGACATCTCCTCYTCAGGATCCTTTCCAGGAGCCCCTATGCTCATCTCAGCATTCCTTTTGTCTCCTCCAGAGTCTGTCCCTGGGAAGGAACCTTCTGTCCCTCTGTCCCACCCAGCAGCATCCACAGCCCTTGGAAATCCCTCCTGCTCCTTTCTCCACCACCCCAGGTTCAGTTTTGGTACAGGGCTGGTTTTCATCTCAGTCTCCAGTCAGATTTCCAGTCCTGAAGGTTCCAGCTTGCCCCGTGAGATTCCAGAGGAAAATCCCATCATGAGGGTGATGCCTGAGCACAGAGATGCCCACCAAGACTCCCTCCTCCTCTGCCTCCAGCCAGAGAGCAGTTAAAGCCAGAAAAAGACTGTTTCCTTTGCAAAGGAAAGGCAGAAAAACCCTGAGGGCCCAGCCATTGTGCTGGGTAAAACTCACTGCTCTGATTGTTCCCTGTGTGCTTTAATGAGGCATTAATTGCCGCAGAAATTACCCAGCCAGCGTCACCCCGTGCGACAGAACCGGTCCCCCCTGCCACCAGCGCAGGCACCTGTCCCACTGCCCTCCACATCCTCCTTTTCCAGCTGCAAGAACAACCGTGAAATCCTAGAATGATTTGGGAAAGGGACCTCACAGACCCTCCAGTGCCACTCCTGCCACGTGCAGCGACACCTTCCACCATCCCAGGCTGCTCCAAGCCCTGTCCAACCTGGCTTTGGTCACTTCCAGGGATCCAGGACAGCCACAGATCCTCTGGGATCCCCATCCCACTGCTCTGGGGCTGTGCCTGGCAGGGAGCCGGGTCCCCATGGCGGGTGGGGACAGGGACAGGGCTGTGCTGGGGGGAAGTCAGGGCCCTGCCCAGCAGCATCTGGTCCTTATGTAACRGGAAAAAGCTTGAGGTTTCTGGGATTTTTCCCCTGGACGCAGGAAAGAACACTTGATTAAAAGCATTTGCGAGCGGCGCTGGGCCCCCACAGCTCCCTCCCCCAAACAAGAGGCAGAAGCCACTTGTGACTTCCCCCCACTTTATTTTAATTTTTGCACTGTGCCAGCGTTTCTAGAGCCACTCCCTGTCCCTGGTGTCCCCACCTGGCAGCACGGCCCCTCTGTGTGGCACCAGAAGGATGCCCTTTAGGAATCCAAGCACTCAGGGCAGCCAGGGATGCTTTTCCCATCCTTTCCTGCACTTTTTCTCTCCCACCCCAAATAACAGTGCTTACCAGAGACGCTGACTGACAGAGCCCCTGCTGGGAAGCATCTTCCCAAAGCAGGGTTAGATCCAAAACTGTCCCCTCCCTGTGCTCGTCCAGAGCCAAGGAAATCCCAACGGCACAGCCTCAGATCCACCAGGAGCACAGCTCCCTGCTCCTGCTGGGGCTTCCTGGCCAGCCAAGCATCCTGAACTTCARTTCCATTCAGGAAGTGCCACAGGGTTTTCCAGGCTGCTTCACCAGCTTCTCCTGGCAACTTGCTGAGGCATCCCTGCAGTGTTTCCCTGGATGCTGCCGGGATTTCTGCACAGCAGAACAGCTCCATCTCCATCCTCATCCTCATCCTCATCCTCACCTGACCCCAGCCCTCTCAGCAAACCTGGGGTCAGGGCCTAAACTAGGGGCAATACATTGTTTATTATTAATAGATGCTTTATTATTAATATATGTTTTATTATTAATTGTTAATAAATTGTTTATTGTCAACAGCAAAAATTAGGGATGACGTGATGGGAGACCCTGGGGAGTTCCCATTAAACCCCAGCCTGGCCTGGGACACTTCCAGGGACRRGGCAGGCACAACCCCTCAGGAAAACCTCTCTTACCCCCCTGTTCCTGTCTGCAGAGGGACAACGAGGGTCAGTCTGAGCCCACAGAGCCACAGCTGTCCCTAAGGGGTCTGTGGGGCAGAGACACCCCCGGGACCCCACTGACCACAGCAGCATCCCAGCACCTTCCCTGCACCCATCCCAGGGCTCCTCAGCACAGGGGAGCTGCACTTCCATTTAATTAATGCCAACCATACCATCCACAGCTTAATTACAATATAATTAACAGAAATTTTAATGAAAGCCCATGTTGGTCAGGGACTGACAGGTCCCTGTGCTGGGGTGCAGGGACCTTCAGTCCCAGAACTGCCCCATGCCAGGGACACCCCGGGATCCTGTGGGGAGCAGCAGCCTCCCAGCATTAATTGCRCAGCACCTTCCCTTCCTCAGCAGCCCAGCCACTTGCGATAATTACACACTTCACATTTTCATTAACTCCCTAATACTTGCCCTAAATTACCCCGGTTAATTATTGATAACACCCAGCTCCCTCCAGATCTGGCTTCAACTGGCAAAGAGCAGAGGAGGCTTTGTTATGCTCCCCTTTAGCACAAACATTAGGAACTTTAATTAAATTTACAGTTAATTCTTATTGACCTTAAAAGAGCACCGTGGGAATGCCCAGCAGTGCCTGCAGGTACAGGACACGGCAGTGGGGAAGCCTTGGAAGGAATTGGGATTTGGAGAGGAAACTGTGCCCRGGAGGAGGGATAAAACCCTTTTACCTCTCTATTAAGCTGATACATTTTCGTTTTTAATTAATAAAACAACTGGCACTTGAGAGGCGTCACAGATGGGATTTCCTATGTGGAGACATTCAGCACATGAAAATGCTTCCTTGGTTAAGAAACACACAATAAATTACAGCAGATAAAATGATGATAAAAATGCAGAAAGCAGCATTAAATAGTGATTAACAGGCACAGCAGGCCAGGAATCAAAGCAGACTTCAAAAACRGGGCCAACGTAACTTTCCAGAGTTAATTGGTTCGTGATTCCTGATGATTTTCGGAGAAGAACTCYTCCCAGCACCGGGCTCAGAGATCAGGGGATGCACTCTCAGGAGATAAATAAGTCTCCAGCCCAAAACATCCCTGAGTTATCACCCACGGCAGCTCCAGGAAGAAAATTAACTCTATCCCAGCCCAAACCAGGAGAGCAGGACAGGCTCTGCCTACAATTCATCTCCCCTGGAAAGCCAGGCAGAAGCTTTTGCACTGATACAGGTCCAGCCCGTGCTGGGAGCTTGATGGGACATCCCAAAATCCCAGATCAACCACAAGTGATGGGTGCCATCGGGTCAGGGCTGCCAGGTTCTGTGTCATCACCAAAAGGAGAAAAAAAGCGGGGGGAATCCCCTCTCCATCACTA